ATTTGACCAAGTTAAATTCTATTGCCAGTACTGTTTTAGATTTAGGACAATTAATTGCAGCAATGATAAAATCAAAGGAAGTTGCATGCAGAATGGGAACACTAGAGCAAAGGAATGAACACTATTGCAAATAATGGAGGCCATCATTACCTGGCAAATGTAGTCAGAATTCTTCTGATCTAGAATCTATCCTGAACAATGCACTTAAGTTGCTTAAATCTTAGTTAAATCAACATATTTTGAAATTGCAGGGGAATCTGACTACTTACATAATCTTTGTAGCCAATTGATTGTAACAGACTTCCTGTGAAAAAAATATTTTATCTGTCTAAAGGCTTCTCCCTTTCTCAAAACACTGGTAATTCTATTGTTCATAAAGCTATTTAATCACTTCAGCAAAATCAACGTGGAAAAATGAATGAGGTCTGCCAATGGAAGAATGAGTTAGAAGGAACTGATCCATAGAGAATATTTTTCTAAGTCTCGTTTGTCTCATGACTGTTGTCCTCTGCTAAAAAAAAGCCAAACAGCCTACTTAAAATTTCTTTCTGGAGTGAAACAGAAATAACAATAACAACCAATGCACTTTTAAATGTTTCTGTTTGTCAGTCTCATAATTATAGTATCATTATCTGGATTTTATGAAATGTTTTCACAGTCCTGAAATAATCTTAAAATCGCAAACATACACCCGTGCACAAGGTAAATGACATTATCCAAGGTATATCTATACTTTGTACTTTTAAATATCAGGTTAAACTAAACAGGCAAAATACTTCTTGTGAGCATATGCCTCTTCAGATGTCAGTATGGTTGCTGATGAATCTTCTGTTGGTATCTTCGCTAAAAATTCCTCTACTGCCAAGTTACACAAAAACATGAAGTCCTACACATGAGATGCAAAAAAGCATTTAGAGGTTTTTGGGAATTTGGATTGCATTTGTGGGTTGAGGATTTTTTTTTTTTTTTCCCTGGGGGGGGGGGGGGTGGGGGTTTTTTGGTTTGTTTTTTTTTGGGTTTTTTTTGTTTTTGGTTTTGGGTTTTTTTTTTGGTTTGTTTGTTTTTGTTTTCTGCAGGATAACTTCTGCTGATTCAGTAAAGTTCTTGCTCTGGGTCGATGGTGTTGAGACTCTGAAAAATCCTTCTAATGGCTCTACTTTGTTCTTTTGTCCCTTCTATCTTCAAATCCAACTAAGTCACTCACGCTTCTGTCTTGTGAGGGGATTTATGGTTTAACAGTGTTTCAGGCTTGGAATTTGGCACATTAGACTCCTGTCCACTTGCATATGGGCAAGAGTAATGAGCTGCCTTTAATAGAAGGTGGTCTTCAGACTTTTTAAGGTCTACAAAACAAACCTAAATTGCTTGTTAATTTGAGGGAAGCTGTGTATAGCAAGGCTGTCTGCAATTTTACTGTTTCTTTTAGTAGGGTTGGTTGTGGCCAGGTAAAGAAACATTGCTGCTTCAGGAACATATTTAAATGGTCTACTCATTTTTAGAAGCTGCCAGTTGCATAGTCTGTCTTGTGTTTCATGTACATCTAAATGCTTCATTGACTCGTGCCAAGAGATGGAAACTAGCCTGCTTGTTTTAATACATTCCTGATGATTTTGATGGAAAATCTAAATGTGTGAAGAACACAAGATCCTGCCCACTAGCAGCCAAAAGGATACCATTTCACATTTGTTACTCTTGGGAACCAAGGAAAAAACAAACAAACAAAAACACAAACAAACAAACAAACCCCAAATCCAACAAAACAGTAAGAACAAGCTCTTGAAATTAGAAATAAACCAAGGAGGAAAAGCTGCAGGTAATATGAGAGCCATGCACCATTGAGATCTTCCAATCTTATAGAATCACAGAGCAGCCCAGGCTGGAAGGGATCTTGGAAGGTCCTTTTGTCCAGGCTTTCATGGAAGGGGCAGCCTAGATGAGATTGCCCAGTACCCTACTCACTTTCATGGAAGGGGGAGCCTAGATGAGATTATCCAGTACCCTCAATCTTCTTACACAGCGAAGTTTTCTGGTTCCCCATATGCTGTAAGGGGGAGAGCTGAGCACTGCTTCCTAGCCTGCTTCATCAGATTGTTGTGTCGGCGGCTTTTGATCTGGTAGTTATTCTTTTTTTATTGCATGTTTTTATATTAGACTCTTAGCTTTTCTTTGTAATTAGACATCGTGATTATAGTATCCTTTTATATTACACTGGAGTGTTTCTTTAATGCAGAAATCAAATAAACAAAACACTTAAAATACAGAAAAAAATTACAGCAGTAATGCTTGGGTCCGAAGGAGCAAAGAATTGGGAAAAACCAAGTTGTAGTTATTGCTTTTGGCATCAGCAACACAGTTCATATTGTTTATTATCCTCCAAATTAGGTTTATTCATTTATTACAATTCAGTCAATGAAATAAATATAAAACCAATCCAGATTTTTAAAGACAGACATGTGTTGCAGTTATACACAACTTTTTTGTTCTTGTTCAAATGCTGAAAAAAAAATTACTTCTTTGTGTAAATGTTTTCTGAGGAAAGGGTTATATAGGGTGAGGAGAGAACACTCAGGGCAGAAGAATAAGTAGTAGAGTATTTAATAGCACCAAGCAGGGCTGTGCTGTTCCTCCGTGGCAGCATCCACACAGTGATCAGCAATCTAACGCCTTCCCTTTATCTGAGGAACAACACATTTATTCCACGTGGTCCCATCTGGGAGTTTGTTTCAGAACAGTATTACCTTCCTCATGATAAGAATCTCTGCTTGTGAAATTATTTTGGAAAAACGCCATCTGCTAGGGAAAATAATAATAAAAAAATATGAATCCATGATTCAGATAATAAAACTTTGATTACTGCTCTCTTAGGAGGATGGATGAGGAAGCAACGGTCCAAGGAGCTGTCCCTGGAACATGTTTTAGAACAAGCTCTTGGGATTGACTGTAATGTCATGCAGAGGGCTGTTGTGTGAGGTACACTGCTCAGTTGGCTCCCAGGGAATGAATCAGGTCTCCTTTACCAGCCTTGGCTCCAAGTGGTTCCTGAATGGGGTGTGAGTAATGAGGAAAGAGATTCCTTCCTGATACAAACGCATTCAGCTCTTGGTGGCATCTAGTGGTTGGGACAATAGGGTGTAATAGAACCGCCCTGAGGAGGCAAGTCCTCAGCTGTTTGTTGTACCCAAGAGGGTTCAAACTAAAATGGTTTTACAGCACTTCAGTAGCTAATACATCAGTGCCTCAACAGAAGCAGTAGTGCAGGGATGACATCTTATCAGTCAGATATTAGTCACACCTTCTACAAAATCTCTGATCCTATTCAGCATAGAATTCTAAGTAATAGAAGATTTCAGACCAAGGAATGCTAAAAGTTGAATGAACTCTCAGTTTTACATTATTTTGAAAACTGGTTTGATTCTCCCAGTTTCTTAAATGAGTATAAATCAGGAATAACTTCTGGAGTGATTGCATTCCAAAGGAAGGTTAGCAAATGAAATAAATCCTCTACTTTGTTGGAGACCTGGGTGGAGGAGGACAATCATCCTTGTAAGTGCTGTGTTTGAAAGTGCACAGAAGATGAGATACACCAGCTGTGTTAAAACAAGCCATTTTAATCTCACACATACACCCTGCAATTCTACTTTTTAATTTCTCGGCAATCACACTGCTGGAATCTTTTCCAGCCATTGAGTAAAATATATGTTTGTCTTGCAATTATGTAAATAAGGTAAGTGGTTAAGATTTAGATCTAGAATAATAATGTTAACATCATTGTCCCTTCAATGAACAGCAAGCAAGCTTTAGATGTAATGTTGTTTTTGCTCTGTATGTTCCATGCCACAGAAAAACACAGGCAGACACAGAGATGATGTGGTATTCTTATTGTGTTTAAAACAATATTTAGCACTGTAGCTTGCCTTTTACTTGTGTTTGAAGGAAAGCCCTGCTTCATCAATAGGAATGTGTCAGAATTTTGTAATAAAGCATGCTGTGTAATATATTTAAACACAGTCCAAATTAATTAAAGTGTAGTGGACGTGAAAGATACATACTCAATGTGACATTTCAAATAGGGAGAAAATATGATAATGAGCTATTTCCATGTGTTGCCATCCTTCTGGTTAAATAATACTTCTGTTTTCAATGAAGCCACTGAGCAATAACATTCATTTTTGGAGTTCCATAGCGGTTAGAACTGATTGTATACAGGCTGTAATCATTATCCTAATTCTGCCCAGGAAACCCTCTCTCCCCACCATGGAGAAATTTGGAATAAAAAGTCTCGTTCCAGGAAAAAGAATTTCCAAATAATCCTGGGCACCAGATCAAAATATGAGCTCCAAATCCGTTCCTTTTTCTTAATAAGAATCAGCACTTTGAAAAATGCTGCTCTGCAAGGAAATAATTGCATTAGTCAGCCTCTTGGCACTGGCGTGGGCTGGAGCCTTCTCTTAAAATGAGGCCCAGCCTCGCCCTGCAGTGCATCCAAATCCCCCAAAGATGCAAATAGCCCCAAGACCCTTGGCTTTGTTCTTACAGGCAGAAAACTAAAATATGGTACAAAAGGAGAGAAAGCGACCTGGAAACACAGCCTGTCTAATGCTGAGGCAGCCTTGTGTAAAGACAGGCATCTTTTGTGTGCTGAAGAGTTGAAACCAAAATAGGAACTGGAAATAAGAAGTTACTGTTTTCATGATATCCTTTCCTTCGGAAGGATCTGATCCCACAGATGCGGGGCCTTTAGCTAATTGTATAGCACAAAGGACTGGTGATACGTGATTATATATTTGCCTCTTGACAGGATTATAGTGCTTATGATCAGGACAACTCCAATGCTCAGGCCCTGACAAGCACTAGCACAAGATTACTTTGGTTGCTCTGTGCTGGAGAGGTCTTGAATTTAGTCTAGAGAGTAAGCCTATGTGTCTTTCACTTGGAGGATTTTTAGAATCACACCAAAATATCCCTTTTTAGTAATGCTCTGGTTATCTGATTTTCAACAGTGAAAAGGCTGCACAGCATTGGTGAGGGATGAAAGACAATTTGGATGCATTATTGGATATCAAAAGTGCAATGCTGGAGCCTTGGTCTACAGGAACAGAAACAAGACTTGCCTGGCACTGAGACATTATCCCTCCAAAATACAATCTAAACTGACCAACACCCTGGATTCACCGGGAGGTAGGTGTTGAAGTGTTTTTCACATGCCTGTTTTGTCCTTACATTGTTTAAACTTTTGAGTCGTCCACATCACCACCACCACAACTATTTCCTTCCCAGCTGTTCCTCAGATAGACCAAGCAATGGTCTAATGTAGTGGAGCCTGTAATGTGAACTCTTAAGATTAGCATGGAACAGAATGGACAACTCATTCCTTTGTTCAAAGACTACCAAGAAACAGACATATTTCCCGAAATACAGGAAGAGCACTTCCAAGATGTCTGTATGCAGAACTTTGCATTTTAGCTCTGACAAGTTCTATTAGATACTCAGTCCCTCAGTGAGGTTGATGAACAGGGCAGGCAGTCAGTGCCCACCCCCGGATCCTCCTGCTAATTACTTTGTTGGCAGTGCATTTCAATTGCTCTATATTCCCCCCTCTTTGGGATAGTATTGTACCAACTGATTTCTGCTATTCAGCTAAAGAGCCAGAAGCAAATGCTCCTTTGTTGGCTGCTATTGACCTAAAGGGAAAACACTATGAAGATGTAGCTTTCAGTCATCACCTGAATATAGTACAGGAGGAAGATACTTTAACCTGTTCATGTTAAAACAAAAGACAGGAATGTGCATCTGTCAGTAGGGAAGGCATGTGACCTCACTATGCCAAATCAGATCTTGCCAGAGCCCTCGCTGCCTGGTAGAGTCATGGATGGGGTCAGGCTTTGTGTGCTCAATCAAGATCATGTGCTCTGTGCATTAATACTAGACTGTGCTGCGGTTTTCTGCATTTAGATTTAGCTCTTCTGCTGCTGGAGTGTTCTAGTATTGTGGTCTCAGGTGTTGCAAGATGCCTGAACAAAGAGCCAACCTGCCTTGAAGATAGTTGCTTCAGAAAGAAACATAATGGATAAAGTTCAGATCAAGAGGGTCTAAGTGAGCCTTACTGCTCTGGTGTGCACCTGTCTGCCTGGCAGCCTAGCAATGCCCAGCCAACACCCTGAGGGGTAGGAGTGCTGCTGGATGAGGGGTGTCTTGGCGTATCTTGTTCTGAAGAAGGCAAGGTCATCATCAGGTAAAAATCACATGCTGTGTGTTTGGGACAAATGGGGGATAATGAGCCAATAAAAAAACGTTCTGTCACCAAATAAAGAGTAGCTTAGGAAGAATTTGTAAATTGGCAGAGGCATTACAGGTATCAGTGTGAGATGTTTAGGGTATTAAGATTGTGAGAATTTAGTACTGATCTGAAATGTTCCACCAAGGTGTCTTTTCCAAATGGAAGGTTACACAGTATTTTTAAATGGACATAGTTTTTTGTGTGAGAGACTCTCATCCTCACATTCAGAGTGTGCTCAGTGTGATAAGGGCATGTATGTACCTGTCCTTCTAAGTTTTCTCTTGCTTCCCAGTACCTGGGCCATAAACCTGAAATTCAAGAGATGCATGCCCATTTGCCTACTGTGATCAGACACTGACAATTCACTACAGCATTTTCTGTATGTTTGTGCTTGTGAACAGGAGCTACACTGTCTCAGGCTGAATGCCAGTTGGCCCTCTGGCTTTGGTAGCTCAGAGATCCCTGCTCTGTACCAAATAGAAAATACAAAAAAAACTTTTCATGGAGTACTGGGAAAATAGACTTGCTTTTGATCAATGCAGTTATCCCTGGCAGAGGGATGGTGGGAGTTGATTGAACAGCAAGAAGAGAAGATAGTGGGTTGCAAGGCAAACCCAAGAAAGCTGTTTGATGCAGCAGAGGAGAGAGAACTGGTGGAATGATGCGTGGAGGGAGTAGCATCCAAGAGTAGAAATAACATATCAGGTAGCAATGTTACTTAGAGGAAGAACCAAAGTGCCAGCTCCACAGATCAAAAACTCAGACAAATCAGAAAACTAGCTCAGGAGAGGTTTAGACAGAAGTAACCCAGTTCTCTCGCATTATGCTCCCAGAGTGTGCGACAATAGCACTAAATTGAATAAGGCCCATGGGAGCACAGAAGGCAACTATTGATAAAAACCTGTGTGAGAGAGAGACGAGGACCCAGGCAGAGCTGCTGGGCTCAGAAAAGGGAGGATTGAAGAGGGCTCCAAGGGCAGCTGTTCATTTGGAGCATTCCAAACATGGGGTAGGATCTAGAGACTGTAGGGAGAGCATAAAATGGGTGAGACTATAAGGAAATAAATCTAGCTGGGAGGGTAATGGGAATAAATAACACAAGACCTCTGGTAAGTAAGGGAGGGAGAGGACATGATATCTACAGAACAGGCAGAAAAGACAGGAGGGGGATTGCCTTTCTAATTATGGGTATCTGTAACTTTTCTGAGATATAATGGGCAGAGGATGACTAACAAATAGCTGAGTCACAGAAACCATGTGACTGAAATTCTAAATTTTCTAAATTCATCTGCTAAGGGGCTTGAATATTCACACAAAGCTTAGAAATTTTCCTCTAATACTATTCTGGTGCAGGTGATCCTAAACCTCCCATTAAAACAAAAAAACAACAACAACAAAAAAAAAAACCAAAACAAAAAAAAAAACCACACCACAACCAACAACAAAAAAACTCCTATCTGGAAATATCTATCTCAGTAAATTGGTCAATATTCACGTTGGCAGGCAAGTACATTACCTTATTCCTCCATTCCTGGTGGAGAAAACCACTTTTGGCCAACTAAAAAATTGTCCATTTTTATCCATAGAACCTTCTGCAGGGAGCTTTATATGGAAGGCTGTTTGAGCCTTCACCATAGCAATTTAGTAAATGATGTTGCTTAGAGTCAGAACAGTGTTCTGCCAGGCTTTGTAAGACAACTTATTGACATTAACTGTCTACTGCTTATAGGATTTTCAAATACTTGATGTGTCATGAAATAAGGAGAATGAGTGCCCTCTGTTTCAAGGTGCTGACTACTGGAAATCTTTATTTCATGTAACATTAGTGCTGGCAAAAATTGGTAGAACCATCAAAAGAAGTTACTCATGCCTTCCACTCACCCTCCTCCTCCTGTGTGACTTAGATTCAAGAACTGATGTAGGTTAAAATTATCTGTTGTCCTGGCCATAATCTGATTAATCAGGTACAATCATAGCTGTCTGAATTATTTCAGATAATATGTTTAGGGAAAAGACATAAATGTGAAATTCCACCCCACCACCCCCCTGGCCTACTGCTAAAGAATGGGATAATTTCTTTTCCTGATAGCAATTACTGAAGAAATACATTCTGATGAAAATCAGGATTAATGTCTCTCCCCAGCTGAGCTGGAGTTTCTGTGTGTACAGTTAGGGAGATTTGGACAGCTTTTGTGAGTACTGTTATATTAATGAAGTTTCCTTCCTTTTGACTTAGCAATCTCTAGTTTACTTGGGATGAGTGAGTTGACTCACTTCTCCCTTACATTTTTGTCATGGGGAAAGAGCAATAAAACAAGCAAGCTGGCACTGAGGGCAAATCTAGAGTAAGCAGGATTTTAGCCTCAGGTCTAGGACATTAGTCACATGCAAATCAGTGATGATAAATCACCGAGCCTGGCTCACAAACCTGCCTAGGAAATCACCAAATGAAAACATGATTTTTAAAAGTACACAACTAATCCCTCTCACCATAAAGAAACAGTCCTGACTTCCGTGTCTAGCAACATTTTTCAGAGCAGGAGTTGTACTTTTCCACAAGGCTCCCCTGGAAGTTCCAAGGAGTTACATGACTCCTAGTCCTTCATTAGTGCTCTTCCATCCCTTTTTCCTAATAGCCAGAGAGTCTCAGCATCTGATGCTTTTATGAAACAGCAGAGAGGAGGTGGTTCTGATTGTGTTTCCTTGTAAAAAGTTTCACTGCCACAATTCCCTGGATGGTACACAGTGCTCTGAGCTTCTGCCTGCACAATAACTGGTTTTAAACATTTCTGTTTAATCAAGAGTGAAGTAAATGTCAGAGATTCAATGTTCTAGATCAGCAGTTTCCAACACTGATACATCTTAATCAAGCAATTAGGTGCCTTTTTTTTTTATGTTGTTGCTGTTATTGTTTGGTGTTTTCTATGCTGGAGAAGGGAACAGATTTGCTGCTTTGCTCTGATGACTGCTAGCAGAAGTGTTTGTTGTTAACAGAGACATGTACACCTAACCACCAGTTGGCAGGTGTTAACACTTTGTTACTCGCTATTCCCACATGCTGAGGATTGTGGGAAAGCTGTCAAGCTCTCTGTCTTGTGTAACACTCAGCTTTTACAATAACAACAACAACGACAACAAGCTCTGAACAAATTCAGAAGCTCTGTAGGAATGCAGCGATGCAGCACTAGCAAGGGAAACAATAGGATGGATTCTCCTGGCTTTGATGGGAGCTAATATGAGGCTTTGTGGAAAGTTTGAAGTATTTCCTTATCTTTGCTTGAAAGCAGGTAGATGGAGACTGAGTGGTTTTTTTTCTTTCTTTCTTTTTTAACTGGTGATATGCCTGATGTTTAGAAGAAACCAAAAATGCTCTGTGTGTGCCCCAGCATTTCTAGTCTGCATCTGACATTTGTACTCACCCGTCTTCAGGAAAGAAAGCCATGAATACAGCATGCAAACAGAGAAAATAGCACAGAAAATGATAGGAATGCCTAGGAATTACCTTTTTTTTTTTTTTTTTTTTTTTTTTTTTTTTTTTTTTCTGTAGGGGGGTGTGACTGTCAAGTGAGAAATGAGAATTTCTTTTAGTATAGTACAACCCTTCTGGCAAACTCAGATGTGCCAAGAAGAAAAGGTCCTCTGTGAGCCTTAAGTATTATTAAAATACTTTTTCTCTGTTGCTTGCTGTCATCCAGGTGCTCAGACATAATCTGCCTTTGCAGCTACAAAGTCATGGTTGAGTAATCCAAAGAATTGATTTATTACTGAAGAAGTGAGGTTTGATGGATTTTTGATTTATATGAAGACAGTGAAGAAGGAGTGGGAGTTGCAAGGCAGCTGCAGCTGGAGTACAAGACAGAAACTCAAAAGAGCAAGTGGGCCAAGCAGTGCGATGGATTAG